GTGCTGGTGCCTAACTGCTAGACCTGTGGGGAACCCAGGGCCTGCAAGGGGGTGGGATCTCAGGAATGGGGTAGAGGTGGGTGTCACTGAGAGAACAGCAGGTCAAGGGTGGGCTCTAGAATCCAGCAGGCAGGCCCTTAAGCTGCCACATGACCTTGGGCAGGCCTCCTCTTCAAGTCCTCCTGTGAAATTGAATTTGGTGAGAGGTGCTGGGTAGACACTCAGACACTGGTGTGGGTATGGGATGGCGAGGCTTCTGCAGGAGCCTTCATCCTGCTCCCTGCCCCGCTTCCAGGTACAGAGGCTGAGGATGTGCTCGGGGAGCTGGAATACGAGAAAGTGCCATACTCGTCACTGCGGCGTACTCTGGACCAGCGCCGGGCCCTGGTCATGCAACTCTTCCAGGACCATGGCTTCTTCCCATCGGGTGAGCATGTACTGGAGTCTTGGGGGGCATGTGGAGAGGGTCTGCCTGCTTGTCTCACCCTCCCTTCCCCAACCCCCACTGTCCTTCCGTCCCCAGCCCAGGCCACAGCAGCCTTCCAGGCCCGCTACGCAGACATCTTCCCCTCCAAGGTCTGTCTGCAGTTGAAGATCCGTGAGGTGCGCCAGAAGATCATGCAGGCGGCCACTCCCACAGAGCAGCCCCCCGGAGCTGAGGCCCCCCTTCCTGGACCGCCCCCCACTGGCACCACTGCTGCCCCTGTTCCCACTCCCAGTCCTGTTGGGGGCCCTGATGCCACCTCACCTGGCTCGGACTCTGGCACGGCCCAGGTTGCCCCGCCACTGCCTCCACCCCCAGAGCCAGGGCCAGGACAGCCTGCCTGGGAGGGCGCCCCCCAGCCCTCCCCCCCACCCTCTGGTCCCTCCACAACTGCAACAGGCAGGTGAGGGGCCCCTGAGAAAATCCCAGGAACCATAGTACCCCCCCCTCAGGAATGGACAATACGTAGGTGGCAGGAATGGGGGGGGCAGGATGGTTACCTCCTCCCCAGTAAAGCCATTTTCGTCCTTTCTAGTTTGGGGCAGAATGAGGCCTGCTCCTCTGTGTGTCCCTGTCCCCCTACAGCTCTCTCCCAGTAATGAGGGCAGCTGAGGGGGAGCAGGGGCACAGTCTCCCTCCACTGAGCCCCTGTACATAATAACCTGGAGTGTGTTACCTTCAGATCTTTTCACTTGTACTTTATGCAAAATGGCTCATGTGAGGGCTGCAAACAGAAGTGAGGGCCTTGGGCCAGAGGGAGGAGCCTGTGGAGTAGGGGGAGTTCATGTACCCCTTTTTTCCCCAGAGGGGCTGGACTCAGGTTAGTTTGGGGGTGGGGGCTCCTGCACTTTGCCACAGGCACGGGGAGGGTTTTCTCCCCACCCCTCTGCCCTCCCAACTTGGGTTGTACTTTCTAAGAAGGTGATTCCCCCTACCCTTGTCCCCTTCCCCAGAACAAAACATGTTGATCATGTGCAATATTTCTTACTGTGCCGAGAAGCCACAATGACCGCGATTAAAGCTGTTTAACACATCTGTGTGGCTGCCCATTCAGAGGGGGGGGGTGTTGGTTGTTCCAGTCATGTCCCCAAATGGCCATGGTGGTATTACATACTTTTCCCCCAGGGAGGTGAGGGGAGCAATGCTAGGACCACCACCCCTCCCAACAGCAGAAAGACACCTGTAATCTGAGGTCCCTGATCCAGTGTGGGCCCAGCAGCCTCCCTGGGTCTGGTGCTCATGAAGCTGTGACGTCAGCTCTGCCTCTTTTTCAGCCATCCAACATTCATGGGCTTGGGGAATGCCTAGATGTGCTGCGAGGATAGCAAAACCCTCCAAGTCCTAGTTAGACCTGAGGTCTCTGCCCAGAGGTGGCACTGTTCCAAGTACTGTGAGGTCCTGAGTGACTCCTGCTGCCACCACGTGGCTTGAGCCAGCACTGCAGCCAGGCCAGGAGCCTCTCCTGGGTCACACCCCTTTGGGCCAGTGAATAGTGCCCATTTGAGAGAGAGCTGTACGGTGTGGAGGAATGACTGCCATGAGTGCCAGGGGTGGGAACGTCAGGAATCTTCGACAGGAAGTGGCATCTAAGCTAGGCATAGAGCACCAGCCAGGGGAATAGCACGTGCAAATACTGGAGGACTACTTTGGGTGAGCTTTGACTGTTAAGCCACCATGTTCCTGGAATTCTCTTCTTGATGCTGATCCTGTAGGGTAGTGTTGGCAAACTGGTTTCACTTAGTGTTATTGATTAGCAGTGCCTGCCTGGAGCACTGCTCTGCTAGAAATGGGCCTTCCTCTACAAGAACCAGAGTTCCTCAATAGATGGATGACCCTGTAGAGTTGCAGGGTCACAGAGTTCAGGCCTGAGGCAGAGCTACTTAGATAGGCATGGCCAATCAAGCAGAAAATAGGACAGGAGACTGAAGAACAAGAATTTAATGTTGCAGAAAAGTGGATGCTTAGAGTGTGGGCTCTGGTAGAGGGACACCCTGACTCTGGTCTTGGGCTAGCAGGCGCAGCAGCAGGGAGTGCAGGGTCCGGCAGACAGGTGTGTAGCCCAGGCGGCTTAGGTGCAGATAATCATACATGTCATGGTGGCTTATGGTACCGTCTGAGTGCACAAACCCGGGGTCAGCATCCAGGAAGTGGGCTCGTGGATGGCCAGCCAATGCTGCCCGTACCAGCTCATTCACCTGTTGGTTTTTCTCACGAAGTGGGTTAGGGTGCTGACCTCTCGGAAGCAGGCCCTGAGGAGGGGCACCAAGAGTTGTGAGGAGATCTATCAACATCTGTGTCCTAGCAGCACCTTTGTGCCAAACTCTTCTCCAACCCCCATCACGAAGTCCCCAGCTGAATGCATTAGGGATGGAAAATGGGGACTGGAAGGTTAATTCCTGCCGTTTTTTGTCTGAGACCCCGCTCAGCGACAACAGTCTTGTAAAAATGTTGACAAAATAACAAGGGGTCAGTCCCTCTATCAGGAGGAAATATGCCAGCTAGAAGTGATGTACATTCACCCCAAGAATGCCTGGCATATATTCTGAATCTTGACACCCCAGAATCTCCAGTGCTGCCCTGAGCAAAGAGACCTAATTGGTGCCTGAACAAGTCCTTATTCACAGCTGCTGTGATGGATGTGACAAGCTTCAATGTGAAATTTTGCTTGAAAGCCGCTGCTCTGTGCCAAGCTGCCCAGAACCATGCCAGCCATGATTACACCTGAGAGGGTCCCTGAACACTACCATTCCTTTCCCGCTCTCCCACACTCTCACCAGCACCACGACGCGGGCCTGAGGCTGCCGCTGGTTCACCAGCTGCACGATGGCCTTGATGCCGCCAGCCACCTGCTCTGCTGTGTGTCCATGGTTGTTGGTACCCACCCAGACCACCACAATCTGTGGAAAGAGAGGCGTGGAGCAGTGGTGAGGGTGCAGGCTAAGGGAGTTCTAGATGCCCACTGAAGCCCTGCTCACCTTAGGCCGGATGTGTTCCAGCTCCCCATTCTCCAGACGCCACAGCACATGCTGCGTGCCATCACCCCCAATGCCAAAGTTAAGTGCGTGCAGAGGAGAGAAGAGCTCCCGCCATATCTGTGGACAAGAAGTGTGGCCACAGGGGCATTGTCAGCATGGACCACTACTCTGGGTCGAAATGTTAACCAGACGTCACTATGGAAGAGTCTCTCTTTATGGAGGGCATCTGGTTAAATCTCACCCAGAGCAACCCCCAGTATGGTCAAACCTCACTTTATGCAAACCCATTATACTGCAGGAACTCCAGTGGAGCAAGACTCACTTTGTGGAAATGATTCTGCTTCAGGCATGCATTGAAATAGTTAAATCTTACTTTGAGGAAAGCCATTTGGGTTTAATCTCGCTTAGAGTTGCAATCCTTTAAGCAAACAATAAAGAGCCTCACCTTAGGCAATCTTGCAGGAAAGCTTCATTTTAGGTCTCACTATACGACCCCAGCCTGACAACGCCAGGGCATGCACTTCGCTCTCAGTAGAACGTTGTCCTTACACTGAAATTCTGGGTGCTCCGCTCTACCTGAGGCTATTTCAGGTACCCCATATCCCGTCTGGCCTGAAGTCTGGTCCAGGCGTGTCAGTGAGGGCAGGCCTGGGTGGGGCAGGAGGAGGGAGACGGTCCTCACCTCGCACTGGTGCATTAGCTGGACCAAAGAGTCCCCGATGAAGACGACTTCGGGTTCTTTATCTTTGCTGTCAGCCACGAACCGATGGTGCTTCAGGGATAAATAAAGAATTACGGCACTCTCGCTCCCGGGCCCGCCCGGCCCTGCTTCCTTAGGCAGCACCATTCTAACTGCCCTAAATTTCCCAATCAGGTAGTAAGAGTCTCGAGAACCAGCTGAACTACTGAGCCCCGGCCCCAACCCCTGACCCCTTCTTATTGCGGGCAGGATCGCTCACCAGGGACATCCAGCGTCCGTCGCCCTGAACGTCCTGCACCGGCGTGGGCTGGCTGGCTGGGTTCTCTCCGCTCATGTCGAAGTCGTAGTTTCTGCAGGATGAGCGAACGAGTTTGGCTACGGACTAGTCCCGGAGGAGGTGGCTCCGCCACGCCCACCCCTACCCCTCCAGGCAACAATGGAGGGCCCAGAAGCTCGCACTCCAGCAGCGGATGAAGGCCGATACCAAGCACCGCCTCTTCTCCTGGGGCGGAAACCTTCACTTAGGAGGGGAGACGGATCGGGAACCTGCTTCCCCTACGGCTGCCTAGCAGTGAGCTCGTCCGGCGCTTCCCGCCCGCGCGCCTTTCCACGCCGCGGCTGAGGATCCAGTATCCTTGCACCTGGGGAAAGGGGGAGGCTAGACCAACCGGCATCCATGGGAGGAGGCGAGAGAAACCACCCCACTGGCGTCACGGGGAGGGGCGAAGTACCTGAAAGGCCGAGAGTGGGCGGGGAAAAAAAATCTAGCACCCTGCCTGGGAGAAAGAAACCATTTGCTGTAGGACGAGAAGTGTGCGCAAGGGCTCACGGACTCTGGCTCTCTCTGCCTCCCCCCCCCCCGCGCCTCTCTCCCCCTCTCCCTCTTTTTCTCCCTGTCTCTCTCTCTCTCTCCCACTCCGCGTGTGGGTGTGTATCCGTGTTCGGTCCCATTCACGTGATGGGGGTGGAGGGGAGTGAGTGGACGAGTCCATTCTGGCATCCCTTGAAGGGGTGGCTCGTACGCACCTGGCTTTGAGGAGGCGCTCCCATTTTTTACGGTTGAGGGGGAGAGAAAAGGAAAATGGCAAAATGTGAAAATTAGAGGCTCAATTTTAAGGAAACACTCTAAGGCAGCGCCAGGACTTTAGTGAGTCTATCTGCTCATGGGGCTCCCCTATTCAAAAACACCAATTTTGTGGCATAAAATCTAAACTACACGTCTTTGTATTCCAGACATCACAGGCCATGCCAGGAGGTTAGAAGAAAGTGTAGAAAGAGAAAAGAAATTAGAGACGGTGCAAGGCCCAGGGCCAGCCTGGCAAACCTCCCGCAGCAGCTCACCTTGCAGATCTGTGGCCTCTGCTCCCCTCCCTAAACCCACTGCCAACCAACAACTTCAGCTGGGTGTGTCTGGGCTCTGAAACCTACATCCACAGCCAAGGACAGCTAAGGTCGATCCTCCCCCCACCCAATCTTAATCTCAGATCTCGTCTTCCTAGATCTCCCCGTTCTCGGGGAACAGGTGTGTGTGTGAGGGAGGGCCCACAGCCCCTAAACCTCATGGCCGTATTCCCAGATGGAGCCTTCCCATCTATTTGTTCCTTCTAGGCAGGTTGATACTGAGATAGAGAAATGAGTCTATTGTTTATGTTTTACTTCAATACACTTGCCTAGTACAGGGCCTGACTCATAGTACCGAGTACTATGACTGTTCACAAGTACTTGCTGAATGAATATTACATGAATAGATCAGATCCTGGCCTTGTCCCAGTGTGTTGACAGAGCAGAGGGATGGATCAAGGTTGTGATTAAGGGAGGAACTGGGGACCTCTGGGGATGAGACAGAGGCCGACTCTATGGCAAGAGGTATTTTAGAAGGAATAGTATCTGAGTCAGGATTTGAAAGATCATGAAGGTCAGCCAAGCAATATTACACAGATAATACAGCTCATTTGGCGATGGGGAATACCCTGGCATAGTCTGATTTTAAAGTCTGAGGGGAGCCCTAGCTGGGTAGCTCAGTTCTTTGGAGCATTGTTCTTGGTGCACCAACGTTGTGGGTTCAATCCCTGGTTCAAGTACATGCCGGATTCAACCAATGAGTGCAGGGACAGGTAGGGCAACAAATCGATGATTCTCTTCCTTTCTCTCTCTCTCTAAAATATCAATCGATAAAATTTTTTTAAAAGTCTGAGCGGATAAGTGTAGATAGATAAATTCGAGAGGTAGACAGTTCCTGAGGCAAAGCTTAGTGAGAAACAAAGCTTCGAGGCTTTCATTCACCAGGGACTATTTTATGTTAGATACTGGCTCACCTCAAACTAACAATAACTGCGTGAAGTTAGGTACTGTTAGGAATCCCATTTTACAGATTAGGAAACTGAAGCTCTGAGCAGGTACACAATTCTCCAAGTCCATACAGCTCAAATGTGCCAATCTGGACATTTGAACCTAGCCCCAGAGCCTAGCTCTGAATGGCGACCCTATACTGATTCACTAAGGGTGAAATCTCTGACCTCCCGGGGCTGGCTAGCCCATTTCATGCTTCAGACAGTAAGTCTCCTTATAGACGTATAAACCAATCGGATTCAGGAACTGGAAGGCCTCCTCATAGCCAATTGGTGGCTGGGAGGTGCCCAAGCACAAATGGGAGGTTGACGAATGTGAAGGCGAGGCTACAACCGGCATTCTGAGCCCCGGGCACGTGCCTTCGAGCCTTCAAGCCTTCGAGCCTCGGGCCTCCAAGACGCAGAGACGTCAAAGGGCACAATAGGGGCACGCGCATGCGCAGGAGGCTCGAGGCCCGGAAGCACACCCGGCGCTTGTGGTGTGGGAGTCACCTTGGAAAAGAAGCCCCTGCGCCCCACTGGCAGGTGGGGTGGGCGGGGCTGGGGGGCAGGGGTTGGCTTTGTTGGGGCAGGAGATGAGGGTGCCCCTCCCCCACTCTTATCCTACTAACTGCGTCCCCCACTTTTCTACGTCAACAGCTCCATCCTCCTCACATTCTCTATAACGCAACTCTCCCAACCCCCTGACCAGGCCCCAGTCCCTGATATCTCCCCTGTCACCTTGACTGTATCCTACAGGTTCCTCTCTGTACAGTTACTTCTCTCTCTCTCTCTCTCTCTCTCTCTCTCTCTCTCTCTCTCTCTCCTTTCCTTCTCTACCATCTCTCTCTGCTTTTTGCGTTCTGCAGTACCATCTCTACCCCCAGGATTTCTCTTCTGTACGAAATCCGTTTTGGTTCTCCAGATCCCTCCAGTCTCATGATTCCCTCCCCTATCCCATCTTCTATTTAGCTATTTCCTCATGTCCCTGTAACCCTCTGTATTCCCTGACAGATCTTCCCATTCAGCATGAATCCCTTGATCCCACCTTATACTTATGACGACTTCATAGACCAAGCCCTGTCTAATCCCTCTGTGCCCATTTGCTCTCTCATCCTGTCTTCCATTTCACCCCAAACCATCTCTTCTCACTACTCACTTTTAGTTCCCTAGCTTATCTGCTTGCCGATGACCACCCTATCTTTGTATTCCAGGACACTATGGACCCACGGGGACCAGTTCCCCAGTCTTTACAGAGGACTGACAAACCTGGTCGGGTCCGCCGTCGAAAGACCAGGAGGGAACGTAATAAGGCCCTGGTGGGCAGCCGCCGTCCACTGGCCCATCAGGATCCTCTTGTGGCTGGTCGGAATCCACCCATGGACCTCCAGGATCCTGTGGCCTCTGCTGCCCCCAAGCTTGTGGTCATAACCCAAGGCCGGCTAAGCCGGGAACACCGGGGTCTCTTCAGCCATGAAGTGAAATCTCTGGATGTGGCACGGCTGCTTAGCAGTGGGTCCCTGGAACCTGGCACCCCCACACTACCCACCAAGCTTTCACCAAGCCCAGGCAGGACCCGAGAACCAGCCCCACAGTCAACAGGCAAGGAGAACCAGGTGCCTGGAGACTCGGGCCCAGGCCCACCTAGTCCTTCAGAGCTCCCTGGCTTGGGGCAGCTGCTAGGGGAGTTGCAGTGCCAGCTGATTCTGCCGCAGGCTTTCCCCAGGAGGAACCTAGTGCAAGAGAACAGGGATGCCATCGTGGGTACCTTACAGGCCGGCCATGGGTGTGTGCCCGACCTTACCCTGGTGCTCCGGGGTGGCCAGCCGCCCTTGTCAGGTGAGCCTACCTCCTGCCTACTCTGCTTCCCTTACCCTTGTCTGTTTTAGCTCAGCTGTCCCCCACGCTTCTTTCCTTTTTGTCAGGGATCAAGCCTGGGAACCCTGAGAGACGAAGGATCAATAGCCCTGAGCAGTTCCCAGGGGAAGGAAGGCAGAAGAAGAGACGGGGGACAAAGGAATTCGCCTTTGCCAAGCCTCACACCTCCAGCACTCCCACTACACACAGAGTGAGCCTGCCACCACTGAAAGGTCCTTGGCCACCCACATTGCCTTTGTTGTCTTCACCCTCTGCGGTGGCCTGGGGCCCCCCAACAGCCTTTGACCTGCTGAAAAGCATTTGGCTGGTGGCCACACCACCCCCTCCGAACCCCTGTGGGGTCAGCACACCTCAGCTCCTGCCTCAGCAGCCTTCCCCATTGTTGCCCCGAAGCTCTGCCCTGGACTGGAGTCCCAGCATACCTGTCCCACAGCCTAGCCTCTCCTGGGTGGTAGCCCAGAGCAGCCCAGAGGCTTGGTCCTTTCCACCCATGAGACTGTACTAAAGGGGCTAATAATGCTGGGCTAGGGGTAGCATTCTCAGTCGCTTCAATAAAATACCTTCTTCATTGTCCTCTTGATTTTTAGTGAGTGGTTGACTCAGAAGAGCCGTTTCCCTTAGCTCTGAGTTCTGAGTCCAAAATGGAGGGGAAGATGCTATCACTTATCTCCTTCCTAGGCCGTGAGAGACCAGCAGACTGGAGAAATCTGGGGCTTTAGTTAGTTCAACACATCCACCCAATGAGGCCAACTGTGTGCTGGGCTCCAGCTCTGGTGATGCTGGGGCCCCATGGGGAGTGAAATAGGCTCTGTCCCCAGGAGATTCCCAGTCCAGTGGTGGGTGCAGAGCCCCAGCCTCAGTGGTTATCTGTGGGAGAGAAAGGTGGAGTGGCTGGGGAAGTCCGAGGAGGGAGTGATGACTCTGCTGCAGTGATGAGGGAGGTCTTCAACATGGAGCTGAGCCGGACCCTTGTGTTTCTCAAGACTGGTAGAAACTTGCTAGTAGTGAAGGAACACAACATTTGAGGCTATGCGAACGCCATGTGCAAGACCTGGAGAGGGCGAATAGGGGATGTGGGACCATTTTCATTCAGTCCATATATCTGTGTGCCATGCTGAGACCTAGAGTGAGTCACATCTGGGCCCCGCCCTTGAGGAGCTCCTGGTCTGCTGGGTGCAGGGACGGTGTGTGTGTAGGAAAAGCAGATAGGCCTGAATCTGGCCCGCAGACTTTTGTTTAGCTTGTGATATGTTTTAAGTTTTTTGAGTCCATTGCCTACTGTTACAAATCATACAGTTTGCTTTAAAGGAAAAAAGGATTGCATTTCTGCCTTCTAAAAAAAAAGAAAAATGGAAAAAATGTATGATAGGAGGAAGCACTGCACCTGTCATCCCTCCTGGCAGCCCTTGGCTCAAGCCAAACATCAGAGGCCCCTTTCATGGGATTCACACTCTTCCTTGAAAGTGTTCCACACACCTATGTTTCCTGCTTGGCCCCCTGGTTTAGAAAGTTTTTTAAAAATGCTATTTTGAGAAGCAGCAAATTTTCTGCAGTGGAGGGAGAGGGATGAAGCTAGACATGTCTTGGAATCTTGAACAGGAAAATCTACCTGAGGGGCTTGGACCCTACTTTTGCAAACTTTTCCATGGTTCCCCATTGCCATTGGAAAACTAGGGTTGGCACCAGCATGAACCAGAAGATTTCGTGGCTGTGCACTGGCTGAGGTCTAATGGGGAGAAAGTTGGCTATACTGCAATTTGAACCCAAATAACTAATTTCAGAGTCTGCTCATGGGCTTTTCACAGCAACCCTGTTGCACATCCTGGAAGCAGGACAGGATAGGCTCAGGAAGGGGGTGTATAGTGGTTGAGGTTGAGGGCTCTCTGCCACCTCCGTGTTGTGTGACCTAGAACAAGTGGTTTGCCCTCTCTGTGTCTCTGTGGGCACTTCATAGAGTGCAAAAGGAGGTGTGGAACGCTAGTACCTTCACTGGACCCGGTGGGGGATGGCTGGCATGGGGGCGGGGATGTGCAAGCAAAGAACAATGAGGGGACTAAGTTGAGGGTATATCAGGACTGAGCTGGGGTCGGGGAGTTGTGGGTCGTCCGAAGATGGGAGTCTGGAGGAGGCAGGGCTTTTCGGAATGTGAGTTCAGTTTAGGACACGGGGAGCCGGAGGTATCACCGGACTCCCAGAGGAGAGGACTGGGGCTGGGACAGGGTAGAGAGGGTGGGAAAGGGGCCGGACCAGACAGTTCCGGAGGAGGGGGTGGGGATCGCAGCGCCCTGCGGCCTCTTTAATCGAGGGCGCGCGTCGGCCGGCCTGCGCGTTCTCGCCGCCGTCGCCAGGCCGGAGCGGGAGCGGAGCCCGGGCTGGGGCCAGAGCCGGCGGAATGGAGCCCCTGCGCGCGCCGGCTCTGCGCCGCCTGCTGCCGCCGCTGCTGCTTCTGCTGCTGCCACTGCCCCCCCGCGCCCGGGCCAAGTATGTGCGGGGCAACCTCAGCTCCAAAGAGGTGAGCGTGCCTGGCCCTCCTCAGCCACCCGCCGGGCCCCCAGGGGAAAGGAGAGGGAGAGGGAAGGGACTGCACCGCCCCCTACTGCCCCCCACGGGGGGGGGGGGGACCTAGGAGCCGTGAGAGAGGGGGCTGGGGGAGATGGAGGACTGGGTCAGGGTTAAGGCCAAGGGAGGCCGTGGGGTCCAGAGGAGACCTCGGTGGTTGTAGGAGGGACATTGAGGTCAGAACTAGGTGGGGAGTGGGGACCGGCTTGGGAGAGTCGGAGTTTGGGGTGGGGGCGGGGAACCGCCGAGGTGGTGCTGAAGGGACAGCACTTTTTACTCCGCTGAGAGCCTCGAGTTCACGCTCTTGCACAAGACCGAGAGAGGGCCATTGGGAATATTGCGCAGCATAGGGTGGTCTCTGGGACCCGCGGCGGTGTCAGTCGGATGGTGACTGAGACAGAAGGTGGCAGGGATGGGGATCTGGCCCTCCGGGGTCTTTCTCAGGGCACCCGGGGAATAAGAAAAGTGTTTGAGGGGAGGAGGCATCTGAGACAGGAATCCTGGACCCAAGGTGAAGGGATCACGGAAGAATTTGGGATGTGGCTTGTTCTCCACAATTTGGGATGCTTCTTGGGAAATCAGGCGCTGAGGGCAGGGAAGAAAAGCTGAGAGTCTATGGAGTTGAGGAGAGTTTCTCAAAGGACTGGGAAAGAGGGTTTGACTGCACCCCTTTTCCAGGACTGGGTGTTCTTGACAAGATTTTGCTTCCTCTCGGATTATGGACGACTGGACTTCCGTTTTCGATACCCTGAGGTGAGTCTTCCCCAAGCACCCCCACACTGAGGCTGGGTGTTCCCTTGGCCTCTCAAGGTAAGAAGGGCTACCCTAGCTCTCCGTGCTCCTCCAAACCCCCAAATCTCTGGCCCTGCAGGCCAAGTGCTGTCAGAACATCCTCCTCTATTTTGATGACCCATCCCAGTGGCCAGCTGTGTACAAGGCAACGGACAAGGTGAGGGCTGTGAGGAGGGTGGACGGGAGGGGGAAAAGGTCAAGGCTGGCCAGGGAATGACCGTGTCCATCCTTGCCTCCTCCAGGACTGCCTGGCCAAGGAGTCAGTAATCAGGCCTGAGAACAACCAGGTCATCAACCTCACCACCCAGTATGCCTGGTCAGGCTGTCAGGTATGGGCCCAGCCTGGGGGACTAGACAGGCGGTGAAGGTCAAGGGCCTAAGGATGGTGCAGACAGGCTTCAGCTTTCTCGCTCCTCCCCAGGTGGTGTCAGAGGAGGGAACGCGCTACCTGAGTTGCTCCAGTGGCCGAAGCTTCCGCTCAGTGCGTGAAAGGTGGTGGTACATCGCGCTCAGCAAGTGTGGGGTGAGGGGCTGTGCTAGCCACCTGGCTCTTTTCCTCTTTGCCTTCCTGCCAGTACCCTACCTGCCCAGGGCCCTCCTTAGACCTCCACTCTGCCCACAGGGAGATGGGCTGCAGCTGGAGTATGAGATGGTCCTCACCAATGGCAAGTCCTTCTGGACACGGCATTTCTCAGCCGATGAGTTTGGTGAGCCTACGGGAACCCCAGAAGCCAGGATCTTTGCAGGACCCCGAGGCCAGGTGTTGGCTGAGAGATACCAGCCTGACAGAACCATTTCTTCCTTCCATCCAATCGGCAGGGATCCTGGAGACAGATATGACTTTCCTCCTCATCTTCATTCTCATCTTCTTCCTCTCCTGTTACTTTGGATGTGAGTCTCGCATGTGGGAGATATGAGGGGAGAAAAGATGGGGGGGGGCTGCTCTCCCTTCTTGTCTGTAAACAGCCTTCCTCGACACCCCTTCTAGATTTGCTGAAAGGCCGTCAGTTGCTCCACACGACTTATAAAATGTTTATGGCTGCAGCAGGAGTGGAGGGTGAGGTTTAGAGTATCTCAACTTTAGAGTTCTGTGAGATGAGGGACCTCAGGCCCAGATGTCTGGGGACTTAGGGTGGAGGGGCTGGAAACATGGACCCCTGGGTCTGAGGGAGGAGGGGGCTGGAGGCCTGGGCTCCTGGGTCTCCTAGGAGGTCAGCGGAAGTAAACTGTCTGGAACCCTGATGGGGGCAGAGGAGGGTTCTGGTCACCTGGGTCACAGTGCTAGGGGTTAGTGATGCACTGAAGCCCATTTCTGTTCTGTCCTTTCCTTTCTCTGCATATCCTCCCTCAGTTCTGAGTCTCCTGTTTTTCTGCATCTACTGGGGCCAGTATGCCACTGATGGTATTGGCAATGAGAGCCTGAAGATCTTGGGTGAGAATGACGGGGGCCAGCGTGGGCACTCGGGCTCCTCTGCCACCGTGTCTGAGCCCCCCTCTCTTCCCTTCTCCCAGCCAAGCTGCTGTTCTCCTCCAGCTTCCTCATCTTCCTGCTGATGCTCATCCTTCTGGGGAAGGGATTCACAGTGACACGGTGCCCAGGCTGGGCTGGGAGGGAATGCTGGGGATGGGGAATGGCTGGGCTGGGCAATGGGGTGGGAGAAGGGGTACGGTCTGGGGGGGGGCGGCCACCCCTCCTCCCTGACAGCCCCACCCCTGCCATCTCCCCTCATGGCCTGTCGCCAGGGGCCGCATCAGCCATTCAGGCTCTGTGAAGTTGTCTGTCTACATGACCCTGTACACTCTTACCCACGTGGTGCTGCTCATCTATGAGGCCAAGGTGAGTCCCACCCACCACTGCCCAGGCCCTGCCCCTACCCCGCAGAAAGCTTTCATGGCTTCCTCCACCTGTCTGCTAGCCCTTCTCCACATGGCGTTCCTCCTGGCTCTCTCCCCACCACTCTGTGATTTCCTGTTCTCCCATCCGTCTTCCTTAAGTGCATTCTTCCCCTCTTCACTGTCTCTGAGTGGCTTCTCCCTCCTCCCGCTGTCTCTCACTGTCTGTCATACTTATGCTCAATGTCATGACCAAGAGTTCAGGAATCACACAGACCTGGATTCCACTCTGGCCGGCCCACCTCCCAGCTGGCTGATCTTGAGCGATGGCCACTTTCTCTGGGCCTGTTTTCTT